TAGGATTCTAGTATCCATTGGGGGCAGTAACAGTTTATAATAGGGGCCTTATTGAGGGCTATGTAGAGTTATATTATGAATACTATCCAACTGTTACAGAGTGGGGGCAGTACCCAAAGTATCCACAATTAGGATACCATAGCTTCTAGTACAGAGTAAGATGTCATTCTCCTGCTGCTTGTCGCAAGGTAGATAAATGAGCAGACTCTGCTCTTGCTTTGTTCACCTTTCTTCTGAGCTGAGTCTGATGTCTAGGTAGGGTTTATGGTTTAGGGCCCTGAAAAGTAGGGCCCCCGAACCTACCCCGGAGTGGGTGTGACACGTTCTATGCTGCCAGGAGCCGGGTTCTCGCCCGTCCAAAGTGCCCGTCGCCGAGGCCCACGAAATTCTCAAGCATGAAGATAAGCCGTGGTGTATAATGAAATATGGAGATCTGTGGGGTTATATAGGGAACTACAGGGATATGCAGATCATGCAACTGTACAGGGATAGTACCCCCACAGTGGAAATCAAATTGCAAAACATATCTTCAAAAAGGCAGGAAGCGGGCGATTTAAAGGGATGTATAGGGTAGTGGGCTTAGGGCTCCATAGCCCTCAACGCTTCTGTTTTTGGTGTGGCACCCTGATGTGGGACTTTCTCAAAATCAAGTTCTATACAATCCTCAATTGGAGCCTATCTCTAGGGTATCTGAGGGCGCCTGTTTTGACAAGCCCGCAAAGCACCAAATTCGCACAAACTCCGGTCCCCCGTATATGCCGATATCATAACAAATCACCATCATACGAACACCCCAAGAGGGACCCCAAATTCTTGGAAACCACGTCTTGTGGGACCCCAAATTCTTGGAAGCCACGTGCTAGTATACATTGGGCAAAATTGTAAACTGTAACGAACTCACCCAACCTTGCAGTTGATATAGAAAAGGTTTCTCGATTGTTTTGTTTTCAGCTTCTGAAACATGACAACATGGTTGGCATACAGTCCCATGTAACCCTATATAACCTACCGAACCTTATAGAACCCTATAGAATCCCCTACACCCCTGTACTTGGAGGGTCAGGGGGACTTAGTAAGTAGGTTAATATCCCTATAACCCACATAGTAACCCCAATTATCCCCATAATTAACCTAGTAACTAAGTCCCCCTGACCCTAAACCCTAAATAATCTAGTAGTTTCCATTTCTCTTCATTATTACTAAGTCCCCCTGACCCTCCAAGTGGCAAACGCGGTATGGTAGTTTACGAAACCCCAATATAGACCCAATACATTATAATCCTTATTATGGCAACCAATAAAATACTACACAAATAACCCCTGTATAATCCCAGTTTCCATTTCATTTTCCATGTTCTTTTCCATTTGATTCTCCATTATAGGGCCCTAAACCCTATATTGGGTACCATAGTAACCCCCTTGAACAGCCTAAACCCCAAACCCCAAACCCTAAATCCTAAACCCTAAACCCTAAATCCTAAACCCTAAACCCTAAACCCTTATTATGGGAACCCCTAAACAGCAAGTACACTTGGGGGATTCATGCGGCAAAGCAGGACGAAGAGGAGTTGGCGGAGCTCCCGGCTCTGTACCTCGCCCGGAACACTCAAAGTACTGGGTTTAGAGGTTGGGAATTAGGGTTTTAGGGATTAGAGTTTAAGGATTAGGGTTTAGGGATTAGGGTTTCGGGATTTAGGGAGTAGGATTTAGGGTTTAGGAGTCTAGCCCTTGTATTTTGATATTATAGCGGCTAGATTGGGAGGAGGGCTCCAACTGTAACCACCACGAATGGTGGTCTCCATACATCTAGACTCCTTGCTTTAGATACCCCCAGAAAACCAACCCCTGTCTCCGGAAACATCCCAGGAAACATTTATGTCACTTCAGATTCCGTTTTTTTTCCCATCCAATTCCCCATCTAGTGGGTATAACCGCAACTTCCGTGCCTTTTTCCATGTTCTGTTCCATTTCGTTCCCCGAAACCCTAAGCCCTAAAACACTAAACCCTAAAACCCTAAACCCTAGAACCCTAAACCCTAAAACCCTAAACCTTAACACCCCAAACCCTAAACCCCTCCATGTTAGCCACACTTTGCTGCATGTCGCATGTGGAGGTTGAAGGAACTTGGCGAGCTGGAGGCCTTGCTGGATATGCCTAGACCGGAATGAGGGTTTAGGGTTGAGGGGTTTACGGTTTAGGAGTTTAGGTTTTAGTTAGGGGTTTAGGGGTTTAAGGTTCAGGGGTTTAGGATTTAGGGTTTTCTGAGCTGAACCCTGTATCTCCTTATATGAGATATGTGATATTTTGCCCCCAGTAACGGAGAATCAAGTGGAAAAGAAAAATGACAGGAAACTGCTATATACAGGCTTATAGAAGGATATCTGAGCTATAGTCTAAACTCCTTAAAGGGTTGTATAGGGGAGTATTATAGGGGTTATTAAGGGGGATACTTTGAGTTGAGACTATAGCTCATATAGCCCCTATATCCCCCCTATAACTATATCCCATGGAATAAAAGGTAGTTTCCCAAAACAGGGGGACCCCCATATAGAGCCCCAAAGTACAATTGTCCATATAAAAGGTAGAGCACAATGGCACCCTTAATCCTCCAAAGTCCAGTGAGGCTTCCTGACAGACCAAGAGGAAGGTGAGTGCATCCCATAGCTTTGCGTGCAGGCAAAAAGCATTTATACCCGCGATTGGCGAGAAGCCATCGATCCAGTATGGGGGCGGAGATACTTTGTGAACCGCTGGTCAGGCAAGGCAGCTCGAAAAGTGTTGATGGGTACGGGGCGCTCTGTCCGTCTGTCTTCTTCAAGTGGAAGCGTTTTCAAATGGTTTATACACAGTCTTAGTAAGGATTGAGTAATCCGTTTATAGTGCCCATGTATCCTTAGGGGTCCTTACAAAGCTGTTTGGAGAAACCACCACATGAGCTATATAGTCTAAACTCCTAGTATCCCCATACTATACCCTATAATCCCCTCTATGAGCCCCCTTCCTTATATAACCCTATCTATAGCAGTTTCCATTTCATTTCCACATTTTCTTGTGCATTTAATTCTCCATCATTGAAGTATTATATCATAGTCTCCCCCTAATAACCCGATATAACCCCCTTTAAAGAGTTTAGACTATGGCTCACATGCAGGCCAGGTTATCCATCATCTGGTTCGCTATGGCATCGCGGAAGCAGCTGTAAAGCTCACTGTCCACTTCACGAACCTCTCCTTGCAATCTGCCTCGAACCTGCACTAGCATGTCATCACGGTGGATACCAAAAATCCTGCATGACCCTAAGTACTTTCTGACCTGGGAATAGAAGTACTATAGTCTACTCAGGTCATGTAGGATTTTAGTATCAACACTAGCCTTCAGGGCTGCAAGCTTGGGCAGCTGCCTATGATAAGAGCATAATTACCAACCCCCAGCCCTAAGGGCCTTAAGGGCTAATGATCTCCGATGAGGGTTGGTGATGATTCCGCTGGATACTGAGAATCCTGCATGGCCCTAAGTACCTTCTACCTTGAAAATCGTGGTTCTATGGTATACTAAGGGCATGCAGGATGTTTAGTATCAAAAGTGGGGGCTCCTATAGGGATTACATAGGGATTATATGAGGATAATCTCGGGATATACAGGGAGTATACAGGGATCATGTAAAACTATATCAACAATTCCCGTGTCAGAATAGGCAAGCTCTCCCATCCAAGGCTGGTCTCGCTCGCCGTGCACTCAGAACGTTGTGTGTGCTGGGTCATCTGAGCTGTACTCTAGACTCTTTACAAGGGGTTCTAGAGGGGATTATATAGTGTTTAGGGCTTAGGGTCCAAACTCCGCAAAGGGGGGTTATGTAGGGGCAAAAAAATGGGGACTGGGTGATCTGGGAGCTTCTCAACATGAATCTACTTCTACCAGCCCAGGGCAGGGACCCACAAAATCGTCTTATCTTGCCACTACTTATAGGCCATCCCTAAGAACTCGACTTGTGAGAAACCCCCAAACATGACCCGGGACCAATGCGGTAGTTTCCCTAGATAGGGGACCTAAAATGGACCTCCCTATTCCCTAAACCTTAAACCCTATTCTAGGGAGCCCCAAAAAGGGATCCCCTAATTTAGCGTTTAGGGTTTAGGACCCATCGAGAATGGTCTCCTTAGGAGAAGAGTTTCCGGAAAAGAAGATCGCATCCCTCGAGCGGAGTGCCATCTCAGGCGGACCTGAGTGGTCTGCATCCCTGATCTTGGTAATAGTGTAGTACTGGTAATTGTAAAAAGTAAAAATACTAAGAATATTGTTGATATTAATGACACTAGTAGTAGTAGTAGTAGTAGTAGCAGTAGTAGCAGTAGTACTACTACTACTGCTACTACTACTACTACTACTAGTAGTCAGCATATTGATATGCCTTGAGCCCTCCCCAACTTGAGAGCCAAGTTGATCCTGCATGCTTCTTGCAGCTCAGAATTCTTTCAGATGCCCCTCGCCCAAGCGACTCCCTTGCGAATCCTTTGCCTGCATGGCTTTGGGCAGAGTCGTGAGCGTCTGGCAGCAATCTGTGAGCCACTGACAAGAGCTCTGCCAGAAGTGACATGGTCTTTCCTGTCTGCTCCCCACCATTTGCCTCCTTTGAAGAAGGGCTCTGCTGTCCGGGAGCATCGCTGTTGGTTTTGGTATAATGCAGATGACCAAGGCGACCTCACAAACATGCTTTCAGCCCCTGTTTACTATGGCTTGGATGCTAGTTTGGAAGCTGTTCGAGACGAAGTTCGGAAGGGCAATATCAATGGACTTCTGGGCTTCAGCCAAGGAGCTGTTTTGGTCCATGCGGCCACACAGGATGAAGAGATATGCAGGCAGCTTCAGGTTGCCATCCTGATACTGGGTTGCTGTTAAGGAGCTCAATTTAAGTTACTATACTTTGGAAACCATATTACGTAATTACTATATATCTATACCCATTATGGTAGCTTAATTTAAGTTCCCTAAGAGCAACCCAGGATAGGAGGCTTTGTAGCCAAGCCTCTGCCGCGGCAGATTACGGGTGAGATACGGACGTTACATGTACTTGGCCGGCAGGACACTCGAGTTCCTGCAAAGCACAGCCTGACACTTGCAGCCAGATACGCCCACAGTCGCCTTTTCGTGCATTTGGGTGGCCATTCAGTGCCCTCCAGCAATGTCTTCCGGTCTGTGCTTCGCGAATTTCTCCTTCAACCAAAGGCGAAGTGTCGTTTTGATGGAATGCAGGCTTTGCCCGTTGACTTGCAATTGTACTGTCTTTGGTCTGCTTTTCTGTTGTTTGTGCTAACCTCGGCACGACGTCTTGCAATTCGCTTTTGCGCGCAGACCCGTCCGGAACAGCGACGTTAGGCATGAAAGCTTTTAACCTGAAGCAAGTAGGAAGCCACGGCACTGCTTCCACTCTCAAGCCTGATTTTGTGGCTCACTCTTGACGTGTCCCTGGAGCAAAGCCACACCAGCGTCTACAGCATCATGCACCCGACAGTGGACATGCTGCTGCAGAGCCTTGCTTCTTCTGCACATGGATCAGCATAGGAAGAAAGCCACACTGTTGCTGGTGTGATATGTTGACTGCCAAAGATTGCAGAATTACAAAACAACTTTGTTGTGGTCAGATGCCTGCTTTCCAACTGTCGATGTCCCATCTTGTGTGGTTTTCATGATGTACCCACTGAGAGCAGACTCTGAGCTCCCCTTGTGCAGCCTTCAGCAGGTTTCGCAGCCATTGCTGATGTGCCAGACAAACGAGTGAAACTTGCAAGCAATTGGTTCAGCAGATTTATGAGATTGCCAGGTTGAACTGTTTAGAGTTTAAGGTTTAGGGTTTAGAGTTTAAGGTTAATGGTTTAGGGTTTAAGGTTTAGGGTTTGGGGTTTAGGGTGTCAGCCTGCTAGAAGGTTCTCTGCTGTGTAAGAGTTTCCTTGGGTGCCTCCACGTTGCCGCATGAGCCTTTCGCCTCAGGCAGGTCAAGTTCTACGATGACGCAACGCAGGACTACCACGAGTGGTGGTTGCAACTTATTGTACATAGCAATAATACAAATATTAATAGTAGTAAGACTAATACTTTCATAACAGTAATGCTAAATAATGGTAACAATACTACTTATAATCATAGTAGTAGTTATACTAATATCATTATTACCAAGAATATCAAAAATGCTAGTAATCATAGAAGGAGCTATACTAATATCAATATTACCAATAATCAGTGCCAGCCGTTGAAGGCGCCTTCCTCACAGCCGTCCTCCCCAGCTTCAGAGGACAGCATCACAGGCCTTTGTGCCATCTTAAAGCTTCCTTTTCAGCTGTGTAATTAGGGTTTGGGGTTAGGGTTTAGGGTTGCCCCCCCCCCTAACTGTAATAGTATGGGGTTTAGGGTTGAGGGTTTAAGGGTTACATGGACCCCCCACCCTGTACTAGTCACTGCAAGGGATAACGGTAATCCTACTAGGGTCCACCTAATGTGCCAAGCGTGCACGGCTGGCAGGTCAGACTACGAAAAGTCCAGAGTCAGACTTCCGGGCCGTGGTGCTTCTTAAAGCTCCAGGCAGGTCGGAGGAGAGTGACATTCTGGGTTGCTGTTAGAGAACTTAAGCTAACTTACCAGAGTATGGGAACATGGTGAAAAATAGGGTTTCCTTGTCATAACAACTTAAGTTAAGCTCCTTAACAGACACCCAACATTTGGCAGACCTACAGTCGTGAGTCTTCCCACAATTAGGGCTACAAGAGGGGTTCCAAAAATAGGGGGACCCAAATATGGACCTCAACGATAATCCTTACACTTCGGACCCCCAAACAGTTACCCCTATTTCAGTTATGGTCGCAAGCCCCTAGAAATCATTACAAAACCCTGGATTTCACTTCATGGTGCATCTTCTTTTCCATTGGATCCACCTTTATTGGGGCATACTATCCCTCAAGAAAAAGATAGCCCTTATAGAGTCTCCATACGTGGGTGGATTGAATTCTTCGTTGTTGGGAGACAAAATCCCTAAACCGAGTAGTAGTGCCATTTTTGTTCCGTTCCTCCATACTCCCTATAGACTGGAGCTGAAGATCCCTATAGAATGCCTATATGTGGATAGATACTGGGCACCTAAAACCTAAACCCTTAAACTCTAGACCCTAGGCCCCTATATAATCCCAACACTTGGATACATACTGTCAACCCTAAACCCACCCCTGTATGGCAGTTTCCCACAATAAGGGGACTCCCACATAGACCCCCAAAATCATGATCCTTTTTAGAGGACCCCCAATAAGGTACCCCTAATTTGGGGAAACCCTAAACCCCTGAACAGTAGCTCCCATGTTCTTTTCCATTACCCCTTTATAACCCCTACCAGAACCCTATATAAGCCTACATAAGCCCCTTTATAATCCTAAACCCTAAACCATAAACCCCTAAACCATAAACCCCTAAACCCTAAACCCCTAAACCCTAAACCCCTGAACCCTAAACCCCTCAACCCTAAACCCTAATCCTTAGATATGGAGCAGGTGTAAAGGCCGCCTGGGCCTCTGCCACCCTGCAGCAGCTGATGGCAGACGCCGATCGTTTCGGGCAGCTAATGGCAGACACTCGGTAGTTGATCAAAATTCGAAATGTTGAGGGTACTTAGGATTTAGGGTACCTAGGCTTTAGGGTGTTTAGGATTAGGTAGTGGTAGTTTGATCCCATATTCTCCCTTGGCTGCCTTTAGCCTGGCTCTTCGGACTTGAACCTGCCAATATTAAGAGGGAGGCTAAAAGTTTTTGACTTTGAGGAGGGGTCCTACAGTCAGCTAAAATCTGCAATTGACCCTATATAGAGATTGATAGGACCCTAAATATCCCTACATGATCCATCCACATCCCTATGATGTTTTGCATTTGGTAGTTGATCAAAAATCCTGTTCTCAGAATTGCCATTCTCTCCTTTATTTTCCTCATAGGCCTATGGGAACCCTAGACATCATTTCCCCAAAGGGCCTCTAGATTCCCCTGAACCCTAAACCCCAAACCCACTCTAGATCAACCCTCACTTTGAGGGCATTGGCCTGGATTTACAGGGCCAGCTCCAAGAGTACCAGGCAACGACGAGCCCTAACCCCTGAATCCTAAACCTTAAATCCTGAACCTTATATAAACCCTGTATAAACACCCAACACTAATTTGATGAGGGAAAAGGGCATGAAGTGATACAATTTGATAGAGAAGACGTTTGCTCATATAGCGTGGGAAGATTTAAGTGAGCTTGTTTCACAGGCGCATAAAACGTTGGCAGTCAGCAGAGCCCAGCAAAGGAAGTTCTCGGAAGCGTGCCACAGATGTGGCTGCTCTTGGTTAAAGAAGAGGAGCATCTCGGTCTGCACCGAATAGCAGTAACAATTGCAAGAACAGTAACAGCAGTATGGTTTAGGATTCAGGGTTTAGAAACCATACTACTAATAGTAACACTTGTAGAAAAATAGAAATACTAATACGAATACTGATAGTAATGATGATAGTATTGCAAAGAACAGTATTAATGAGGGACCTGGCGGTGCGTTTCACTGCTCCTGGCCCCTAAAACCTCTAAACCCCAAAACCCTAAACCGTTATATAGGCTTAGGGTTTAGGTATGTTTTATAGTCCTATGTATCCCTGTATATCTCATAACTCCTATAACCCCTAGGTAGCTCCTGTAACCCTAATCCCTCATCCCTAAACCCCAAACCCTAAACCCAAAACCCAATATATCTCCATGTTTGCCTTAAAAAGTCCTCCGTGAGGCCATTCAGCATGGTACGTGCAGACTTGGAGGCACTGATACGGTTTAGGGTTTGGGGTTTAGAGTTTATAGTTGATGGTTTTAGGGTTTAGGGATTTTGGGTTTGGGGTTTAGGGTTCGGGGTTGACAAGGCGTCTGAGCCATGGTCTAAGCTCCTACAATGGGTTAGACAGGGGACTATTACAAGGGTTATTGAGGGGGATAGCCGGAGTTGGTACTTAGTACTTCTCACATGTTTGCCTCATGATTCAGCGGCCGTTGTTGTTTGAGGTTGTTCTTTTCATCCTCATATATTATATAACCCCAGTATACTATGGGGACCCCCAAAAAGGTTCCCCGAATTTACCCTAAATCCCTAAACCTTAACCCCTAAACCCTAAACCTTCGATCCCCAAACCCCTAAACCCCAAACCTTAGATCCCCAAACCACTAAACCCTAAACCTTAGATCCCCAAACCCCTAAACCCCAAAACCGCCCCACCCAATTGTGGAGCCAGCCAGGAGCTAGACATCCCACGTGACTCTGAGATCGTCGAAAGGGCCCGGTCCAAGGCAACGGGGAACTTGGTAGGGTGATTTGGGGTTTAGGGCCTATGGAT